AGCTTGAGGCTCCGTCTCAAAAAAAAAAAAAAAAAGAACACATCCAATTGAAAGACATTCAAAATTCTGGAAAATACTGAAAAGTACTGATTGACCATGTGCATCCTTAAAAAACTCTACTTAGGAAGGTCTGCTGTACCCACAATGACACCCCAAGGCAGAGAGATTCCATTTCAGAGCCAGTGACAGCTGTGGGAACGCACCGTTACACCCTGAGTTCAGCAGCTTTACACATTACTTTACCCTGTGCTTTTGTCTTGCCATGGGCATCCTCCCTGGTCACTCGTTCTGTTCACATGACCTTTTCCCACCTCAGCTCATGTACCTGTGTCTCCACTGCAAAACTTACACCCTCCTTCCTCACAAGTCTCTTTATCCTTCAGACGCCTGATGAGCCCCTCCCCATTGTTCATCTCCTAGCTATTACATCTCTCCCTTTTTCACACTACACACTCCACAGACCAAGAGCACTGAGGGATAGCGTAGTGTAAAGAGAAGAGTGTGGACTTTGGAGTCAGGTGCAGCTTCAAATTAAAGAGCTTTCACATCTTTAATTCCTGCATCATCATGTGTAAGGAATTTAATTTATCTCAGCTTCAATCTCCTCTTCTGAGTACAATAAAACCCATCAAAACAGGATCATTTTGATAAATAAGATTATGTAGAGATACATAACAAGTCCAGTGCCAGCACACAGTAGGTAAAAGAGAGGCATTTCGACCGGCAGAGATCTCACAGACCACCGAGGCTTGTACAAAAGGTCTTTATTGGTGAGGGGAGGGAGGCTGCAGAGCAGCACCAAGGAGGAGAGAAAAGAAGAGAGAGAGATAAGGAGAGAGTGAGGAAGAGAAGAGAGAGAGAAAGAGTAGAGAAGAGCGAGGGGAAAGAGGGGAAAAGAGAGAGAGCAGAGAAGAAAGGCAGAGAGAGAAGGCAGGGGAACATATTATATAGGGAAGTTTTAGAATGGTGACGGCTGGTGGGATAACCAATAAGGAGTTATTGATCTGGAGGAAAGAGCCATAGGGGTGGGCAGCAGGAAATTGGAACAGGGTGATGAGGTAAGCAGGCCACTCCCTGTGCTAGGGAGGAGTTGTAACTTTTAAGGGCAGGAAGGGGCTTTTGGGGGGGAAGGGGCTTTCTGAGGCAATAATCTAACAGTAGGTATCCTCCATCTCCCCCTCAGAAGATTTCCCTGTGACCTAGGTCCTTGACAGATTGATTGCTAGCCCCTGGCCTGTCCCCTTATCCAGATCAAATGTCATTCTCCATCCCATGCCCATCCCTCTGTCTACATGTCTGTTCACTAACATCCTCCACCCCAGTTCCCATATCTTCTACTTCTCAAATCCTCTTATCTTTTTTTTTCTTCTTTGAGACAGAGTCTCATAATGTCACTACAGCAACCTCAAACTCTTGGACTTAAGCGATTCTCTTGCCTCAGCCTCCCAAGTAGCTACAGGCACCTGCCACAATGCCCAGCTATTTTTTGTTGCAGTTGTCCTTGTTGTTTAGCTGGCCTAGGTCAGGTTCAAACCCACCAGCCTCAGTGTATGTGGCTGGCACCATAACCACTGTGCTATGGGCGCCGAGCCTAAACCCTCTTATCTTTAATCAGTAACTACTCATGTGTGCTTACACCAAATGATGAAGAGACCACAGGCTGGAAAGAGGGGCAGCTGTTGAACAAATAAGGACAGGTATGATGTGATTTTTAAAGGAGACAAAACCATACACATGTGTCCTGGATTTGGCCCACAAGCCTGAGACTGGGTCTCCCATTCCTTCTTTCTGCCCCCTGCCCTCTATTTCTTGGAGTTCCAGCTCACCGTTTTTTTTTTGTTTGTTTGTTTTGTTTTGTTTTTTGGCCAGGGCTGTTCACCGGTACTCTTTTCATCTTCCTGCCTGTTTCTCTCTCCAGCTGCCCTCTGCTTCTATTCTGGCAGGCTGGCCAGGAGTTAGGAGAACAGGCTTTAACACAGGACAGAGCTGGGCTTCAACGCTGGCTTTGTTACTTATTGGTTATGTGGCCCTGTGCAGGTTATTTTACTTTACTTTTTTTTCTTCTTCTTTTTTTTTTTTTTTTGAGACAGAGCCTCTCAAGCTGTCCCCCTGGGTAGAGTGCTATGGCTTCACTGCTCACAGCAACCTCCAACTCCTGGGCTCAAGCGAGTCTCCTGCCTCTGCCTCCCAAGT